TCTCTCTACGTTATAGTGGATTTACCGGATTTAAGTGCTAACATTTTGAATGATAACCTAAAAAACGTTCATGATTGGTCCAAAAGTTGGCTTGTCAATTTCAACCCTAACAAAACTGTAACAATGACTGTAAGTAAGAAAAATAATAAACCAATTCATCCCTCCTTGTCTATGAATAACATCCTATTAACAGAAGTCTCCTGTCATAAGCACCTTGGCGTCTTTTTATCTGATAATGGAGGGTGGGCTGACCATGTGCATTCTATAATCAGCAAAGCATCGAAGAAACTTGGTATTCTTAGGAAATTCAAATTCAGTATTGACAGAATGACTCTACAAAAAATGTATTTTACTTTCCTTCGACCCATCTTAGAGTATGGTGATGTAATATGGGACAATTTAACGATTGCACAAAGTCAGTTATTAGAAAATATACAGCTTGAAGCGGCTAGAATTGTAACTGGTGCTACTAAGCTAACTAGTCACGACCGAATTTACCAAGAATCTGGCTGGGACCCTCTTTCAGTTCGAAGAAGTAATCACAAGATCGTACAATTTCATAAGATTGTCCATGGTCAGTCCCCCTCCTATCTCACCAACACACTTCCTGCTCGTCATTCTGATCTCCACTCTCACAATACTAGAAACGCAAACAACTTCTGTCAAATAAACTGTAGAACAAAGCTTTACAAAGATTCTTTCTTCCCCTCCTTTATTGACCTGTGGAATGCACTTCCCGATGATACAAAGCCAAACCCTTCTCTTACTAACCTCAAAAAGTTCTTAAACGCTGGTAGTCATCCTGTTCCACCTTATTATTACTACTGCAGAAGTAGATTCGCCCAAATCCACCACGCGCGATTAAGGATGAACTGCAGCTCTCTGCACAGTCATTTATATATACGTAACTTAATTGATAGTCCCATGTGTACTTGTAATCTATCTGCCGAAGCAACCGAGCATTTCCTCCTCTTCTGTCCAAAATATCAACTATTAAGAGATCAATGCTTCAGAAACCTTCCTCCGGAGTACGACACGAATCTCCTCCTGTATGGAAATCCCGATATGCCAGTTAGATATAACGAAAATATTTTTGACTGTGTCCAATTTTTTATCTACCAGTCGAAACGGTTCTAAGTTCTCATCTTCAGTTTTATCAAATGTCTATAAGTATGCACATAGTAATACCTAACTGCCAGTGCACTTGTTCGGCATGGCATTTCAATGTAGATTACGTATGTAAAATTTTATATGCATATTGTCATAGTTCTGTGTAATGATATTTGTAATATGTGAGATTACAGAAGACTGTGGTACAGTACTGATTCTCCAATTACTCACGGGTCGTTTTTGTAAAATTGTGTTTACTTACCACTGATGTATTATAGACTTACTTGACATGTACGGTCAACCATGTGTGTCCAAATTTAAGTTTGATTTCAGCTCGGTTCCCCTCCATAATGCAGCATATTTGCATTGCTTCATTCTTTAACTCCTTCAACTTTTCTGTCAACTCCTTTGCACCCCCCTCTCCCCCTTTCTTCCCAAATATCTTCATTTCCCTAATTATGTACCAATATGCTCAATATATAATGTATAATATTAGTCAGTGCCGTCCGATCGATGCTTCGTAAATTCAGGAGACGGATTAATATAAGTACTTTGTACTTGTTTTCGAATCCTTATGTATACTGTTTGTATTGCTGAAATGTTATACAGTTTAAAATAAAATAAAGTTTAAACTAAGTTGAACTTTTAACAAAACGATTATTTTGACAACTTTACAAGCAATATTATGTATAAATCTCCTTAATGTATGCTTCTGACTATCAAGCATCGTATTCTATAATACAATAATCGTACAGAAAATCTACGTCCCTGCGTCTGCGAATTACTAATCTCTATATTTATAGTATAAATATGTGTCACGTGTAGTATGTTAATTATTTGTAATTTCATTTATGGAGAAGAGTTCTTAAGTTGCTAGATTTGTCTCTGATCCATTTATCTAATATTGATAATAAAATATGTTTAAATCACAGACGAATTTATGGAATAAACATGAGAAATACAGAAAAAAGTGCATGGTGGGCGTGTCTCAGCTCCAAAAGTAGCCTTCAAACATCATGATGTCTTTAAATAAGAAAATGTTAGATACAGTAGATCCAAATAATGAATTAAACTGCACATTTCAACATTTTCGCACTGATTCCTCCCGTCAGTAATATTCATGGGCTAAAATTTTGAATTTCTCGGAAGAAACATTGACATTTCAAACTCTACTATTAATACGTCTAGAATCAATAACGTAACGGTAGCACAGTGGTAAGTTCCCTGCTCTCAGCTGCAAACTTCTTGGGATGAAATGCTTACGTCGGGTTTTTTTTTTTTCTTTTATCGAAAAGAGATCACATAAATATGAACAATTAAATCGTTGGTTGTTTGAGATGTGAAATAAAGCGTAAAATGAATCTAAATAAATTACAAAAACGTCAGCGTATCTCTCTCTCTCTCTCTCTCTCTCTCTCTCTCTCTCTCTCTCTCTCTCTCTCTCTCTCTCTCTCTCTCTCTCTCTCTCTCTCTCTCTCTCACGGGCGTATGTGTAAAAAATGTAGGCATAGGAAAGTTGTGAGCTATGCGATCATCCTTCAATTTTCTTTATAATTTATCATTGTCGCATATTATTATACATAAAATATTTACATATAATTCATTAACCTACGATTTATTTGTATTTTGATAAAAAATAATTGTTATTATAAAATAGAGATGTTGTCTTGTTCTTTTCATTAATACCTTGCTATCAGACACGATCGGCGAAAATAGGGTCAGTTTAAATATACGATGTCTCGATTACAGGCGATAGACAAAAACACGGTTGAGTCGAACCATCGGATAAGTCGAATATTTCACTTGGTCCCATCGACTTCGACTTATCCGAAGTTTACTGTATATGTAAGTTTGCTATCATATTAATTGTAACTGTTTGTTTGTAACAAAGCGGGAGAGGGCTTTACCTGATTTCAATAACTTGTACCCAATCCCTTTGTTTCAATCAAATATGGTTTAAAAGGCGATGATTGGCTTCTTTTTTTTAAATATAATCTAAAGTAATTATGAGACAGTTTGTACGCTGCAAAATAAGAAAATAAAAACGCGGGCGGTCAGAACAGGGTTCCCCGTCGGTGCTGGAAATGTAAGGTGGTACCGGGCTGTAATTAGTATCACCATCTGAAGTGCTTCAGGGAACGAGATTGGTTAATAAATCTCTGTTTCAAAGACGCTTAAGTGAAGCTAGACGTCAAATTCATATAATATATAAACATGGTGTGTATTTGGGAAATTATCGCTTATATTTGCAACTAAAACTATATCTGAAGCAATTAAGGAAATGTTACGATATCGGTTTTAAAATTACTGTCTCCGACGTCTTCCGGGTAAAAGCCAAATTCATCTGCATGTGCAGTTGGCTTGTGCTGAAGCGAATGAAGAAGATATAGGCAAATAACTGGGATTGGGGGATTTTGCATTTGAAAACGAATCCCATATTTCCTAATTTTTATCTTGTCATTGTTGTTGCGTCTGTTCCTTAGATCTACCCCTTGCAACTTGTATCCAGTTTTGAAGGACAATCTTTCGAAACTATCTCATATGCAACCACTGTATCATAGAGATTTTGTTTCAAAGCTTTTGTTGTGGTCTTTTATTTTCCTAATTTATATTGCTTTAGTTTATTTTATTGCTTTAAGCCAAGCATTATTGTAGTTAAGTTTGTTTAGGTCATTTGTGCTATTTTTAACTATATGCTTGTTCCTAAGTTTTTACCGTTGTTTATTTTAGTTGTGCCAGGTCATTTTTATTGCTGTTCTGCTGCATGTTTTGGTGCTTATTTATTTATCTATTTATCTTTAATGCATGCCTTTTCTGTGATAATTAATTTCATATAATTGTGCATATTGCTATTTTTTTTCTTATTTTTGTCGTAAGAATAGCTCTACAGAGCTAAAGTTACAATGTTTAAAAACATGCTGAATAAAGGTTCTTGTATCTTGTGCCTACTTTTGAAATTCTTATGAAAAATAATAAATTAGAAATGAAAATTCTTGAAATTATGTTTCAGAAAAACCTCTCTGCGAGATGGAGTATATGACAGTGAGGTGGTAATAATACTACTGGTAAGCAATTTTGTATTGTCATGAGCCAGACAAGTAACTGCAAACGTCAAAATTGCCTCCTTTTACTTGTTCCAATTTTATGCACGATGTGTTATGTGCTGTAGTTAATGATATTGATTGCAAATTATGTACATTGATATACCCTAGCTCATATGTTTAGAATGTCACATAGTATTGTGTACATGTTTTACCATATCAATTTATCCAAAGGATGATTTCACTGTTTATTCAGAGACCTATAATGATATCAAAGATATACATAGTAATAATTTGTGTGGGCACCAGCTTGGCTTCAAACTAGTGACTTCTTACTCTCAAGGCAAACATTGAGACATGACTAAATGGAAATTCTCACTAGTTGAGACTAGCAAGATGACCTGTGCTCTAAGCTTCTATATGTACCTGGTACAATAATATACTCTCACCTTCAATATATAACTTAAAAGACAACAAGATCGAGAATCAATATTTAATTGCAGAAAAAAAGCTGCATGGGTATCATATGCTATAACTTAAAGAGATATATAGAAAATGGCCACAAAATTTTAAACAGGGTTTATTTGACCTTTATTTAACACCAGCTTATTAAATATGGTTATTGTATCAGCAGCATCTTGGATAGAGATAAGATTTCATGGACATTCTCTTAACAAAGTTCAGCTCATCAATACTGTGCATGTCCACCAGTGAAATTGATGCATGCTCATGGGGGCGAGCATTATCCTGTTGCAGCATGGCATTAAATTGCTGCACAAATGGAAGGACATGAGGGCAGATGATTATGTCAAGGGGTCTGATGCCTATAAAAGTGCCGTTCACATCCACAAGAGCTGTTCTGTCATGGGGTGAGATCCAACACAAAAAGAACATGAAAATGAAGATGTGGGCCAGACAGACAAACTACACATACAACACATGCATTGACCAATGTAAATTGAGATTGAGACATGCACAACTTGTCTGTGTAAAGTTTAAAGCTTTAATTAATAAAATTGAGCAATAAATGAACATTCCACATATGCACATTTTCTTTTTTCTGCTTGTATATAAAGGAAGCATTTTATTCCCTCAAGCTTCTACTCTTGTGGTGATCAAAAGCATCAAATAAGTAAAAGGATTGAGTAATAAACAATGTTCAGGGCTCTTGATTGGGCTCCAATCAGTGACCTTTACTCTTTCAAGGCATTTACCATATCACTTGGCTAAAGGGAAATTCCATTTGTCAAGATTAGTAGAGTAAGTGACCAAGATGACCTTACATATTGACAAATCATTATTGTTTACCTTCTAGTATTTGCATAGATTAATTGCCATTGCAAAACAATACAAACTTGGTTGGAATTATGAGCAAAGGATGACAATTTGATGGTATAGCCATATTGATCCAATTTTAACACCAATGGGCTGATGGACAGGGCCAAAAGTGATCAAATTGATTTCAAAAATCCTTTCAGTGCCCAAGTATGGTTAATTTCGATGTAATTTTTATAGCACAAAAAATTTTACTGTAATTTTTATAGAAAAAATGCGTTTTTTTTGTATAATGTTGTTTATTTCCCATTGTAAATAACTTTGTAAGAATTATTAGTATAGGATGACAGTTTTGATGGTATGCAGGTATTGACACTGGCTTACTATCATCAATGTCACAATTTCTTTTTCATGACACCTGAAAGCTACTTACCCTTTAGCCTTTATAATCAAATATTTCTTATTTCAGGTGACTGTCAAGGCCACTAGGCATCTTGTTAACTGAAAAAGATGTTGTCTCAATCAAACAGTGGAGGAAGAACAATTTGTCAAAGATGTTTGAGATATATTAGGTCAACACAACGATATATCAGTCATCAAGAGACATGGACATCAACCAAGATAAGGAAAGCTTTTGTTGACTATTTCAAAGAAACTCACGATCATCAGATTATTCCTTCTTCATCAATAATTCCTGTAAAAGATGGAGGAACATACTTCACAAATGCTGGAATGAATCAAGTAATGTATACTGCTAGGTTTTCTGTAGCTCTTAATACACCAGACATTAAACATTTTGACATAAACAGACATCTGTTCGGTAGAATGTCTTAAAATCTCATGTATGAGAATGAGGAAACTCTGATTTTACTTTTAATGTAGTAAATATCAATTAAAAAACTATACAAGTATGTTAAATGTTTTCAGTCATATTCTAATTGTGTTCGTTTGGGTATAATGGTAAGCATATTTCATAATTCTGATATCTATAGTATAAGGTACCATACGACTATCATAGCTTGGCTCAGTATTGTATTTGTTTCTTATGATAGTAAAAAAGTGAAATGCTGACTGAAACAAATAACCTTTCCAAATATCAATTAAGTTTTCTATAACCAACATGGCCCTTTATACATTTTGATATATTTTTATTTGTTAGTTCAAACCAATTTTTCTGGAAACTGTTGACCCACACAGTAAAATGGCTGGCTACAAACGAGTGACAAACCACCAGAAATGCATCAGAGTTGGCGGTAAACATAATGATTTGGAGACGGTTGGCAAAGATCTTTATCACCATACCTTCTTTGAAATGCTAGGGAGTTGGTCATTTGGAGATTACTTTAAGGTAAACAATGTTTTAGATATTGGATATAAATCATGTTGTGTATTGGTTAAGCAATGAATTTGATGCATTTTACCCTAGGGATCGTAACATTTATATATTTGCATTATTTGTAACAGGAGGAGGCATGTACCATGGCCATGGAGCTATTAACTAAAGTGTATGGCTTGCCAGTTTCTCGCCTTTATTTTACATATTTCAACGGTGATGCCAAACTTGGTCTGCAACCAGACCTAGAAACTAAAAACATCTGGCAGAGTCTGGGGTATGTCTTTGACATGTAGATTTGAGAAAATGTTGCAGTTTTTATATCAATAAATTTGTTTTACACCATTGTGAAATGTCTTGAATGAAATGTAATGATTTTAATGTAATCTTTCCCAACAGTATCTCGAAGGTATTAAGATCATGGTATATCAATATTGGGATTAATTGCACCGTGCTTCGATTTTACATATATGTATTTACATGGGACTAAATTATTAAAATCACTCCGTTTTTCTTTTTTGGTATTTTGCAGAATACCCCAGAAGCGTATTCTGCCTTTTTATATGGAGGACAACTTTTGGGATATGGGTAAGACAGGGCCATGTGGGCCTTGCACAGAGATCCACTACGACCACACAGGAGATGGGACTGGAGTACACCTTGTCAACCGGGGGTCCCCACGGGTTGTGGAGATTTGGAATCTGGTCTTTATGCAGTATAACAGGTCTGCTACTTTCCATATGGTGGTACTATCTTAATTTTATTTTGTTTGTCAACTTAATACCAACAATCACCACGTTTCATGGTTCATATCAATAACTACTTATTTGTAACTGAAAACATGGTATCATATTTCTTATTCAAGTAAACTGATACCTACAAGTTTAGCTGAGATTGAGGTGTGGAAGTAAGACCAAGGTGCTACTTTTTCATTAGCATCTACACCTGGGTTAGAGAGTTGCAGTCAAGTTTTCATTCTCAAAATTGATAATGCAAGAGCCAATTAGGAAGGATTGGTGCAGGAGATCAGGATAGAGTATATCCCTGCTGTATCTCACAGCATTTTGTAAGAGTTGATTAACTATAGCACATCCCTTGGTGTTCTGGGATGGTTTCTCTAATGTCTTCTGTCTAGAAAACATCAGAAGCCCAAGATTAGGGTTGGTCTACTGCATTCCACTGTATGTGGCAAAGTCTTACACGTCTTCTACAAAGACATTTCAAAGAGTTCAAGTTAGATATGCTGCCCCCATTCCACTTTATGAATAGAAGGAAAGATTGGTGGGTTTCAAGAATGTGCATGTACTCCTGGAATAATTGTCATATTCATTTCCTACTTTGTAAATACCTTCATTTAATACTGTTTTATGTATTTAATATTTTATTTTTTTTTGATTAGATAATCAGAATTTTTAATATCTGAATAATGGTTTCTTCAAAGACTGTCATTTTAGTAAGTCAAAGAGGGAACTGTGTGATATTTAATGATGTAAATGAGTCAAAATGGGGACTGTGTGACATGTAATGATTTTAGTGAATCAAAGTGGGAACTGTGTGACAAGCAATCATGTTAGTGAGTCAAAGTGGGAACTGTGTGATATTTAATCATGTTAGTGAGTCAAAAATGGAGACTGTGTGACACATAATCATTGTAGTGAGTCAGTGGGAACTCTTCGATATGACAAGTAATCATTTCAGTGAGTCAAAGTGGGAACTGTGTGATATTTTATCATGTTAGTGAGTGGGGACTGTGTAATGTGTAAGTAATTTTAATGAATCAGAGTGGACACTACATGTAATTAATTTTAGTGGGTTAAAGTTTGGACTGTGTGACATGTAATCATTTAAGTGAGTCAAAGTGGGGACTGTGATATGTAATTAATTTTAGCGAGTCAAAGTGGTGACTACATGTAATTAATATTAGTCAGAGTGGGGACTTTGTGACGTAAAATAAGTTAAACGAGCCAAAGTCGTGACTGGTGATCTGTAATCCTGTAGAATCCTTGTTCCAATTGTTTCACATTAGTTATACATCTAGGACCATTGCATGATTATTGAGTTTTCATCCTGTGAACAGCCAGGGTCATTTTGATGCTGGGCCTCCCTGTAGTAGTTAGTGGTTACCTTAGTGGACAACATATGTTAAGTCAATTGTATGCCATTAAGAGTAATTTGGTAAAGTGTTTTGCCGAAGGACACATCCACAACAGCACAGAACAGGTTTGTTTCTCGGCTTCCTGAGAAATGCAAACAAGCACATCTCGGTAGTGCCGAACCACACACCTAGGATCTTTACCTTATGTTACATTGGGCAACACTGATCAATGCAGGTTTAATTTTGATTGCCTAGTGATGTATTACAGTGTGTACTTGTCGATGGTGTGGCATCATGATATTTAAATATGATTGGTAATTACAGACTACAGTAACATATACCTGTATCCTATTTCTTGGATTGATTTACTGTAATATGATAATCCATATTAGGCAGGAAGATTCCACACTGTCAAACCTTTGCCGACAACATGTAGACACTGGAATGGGTCTGGAAAGGATGACAGCTGTTCTTCAGAACACAGAATCTAACTACAACACTGACCTGTTTTCTCCAATATTTGAAGCTATCAGTAAGGTAGTTTGTAATTACTGTAACTATCTACTTCTGTGTATTGCAATACTTATTGGCATCAAGTATGTTAAAATGGAAATAACATTTGACATATAGAAAACAAAATTATTCTTTCAATACTAAAGACATCTTCATTAGAGATAGTATGAGATTTCTTTTATTGTAGTGAAATAAGTTTGAATTTGATCTTTTTCACTATTTTACCAGAAATTAAAGTGGTAAAATGGCGAACATGAACCATGGTGCTTATTAATCTATATGTGCAAAGTATATTGTCTTACATGCAACAGGAGACAAAGATGCGACCTTACAAAGGCTTGGTGGGAGAGGACGACACGGGAGGTGTTGATACAGCATACCGTATTGTAGCTGATCACATTCGCATGTCGTCTATATCTATAGCTGATAATCTGGTGCCCAATAGAGCTGGTCTAGGGTAGGTTGTAACATGGATTAGTAATTTGTTTATTAATTAAATGTGGATATCTATTGTAACAGATCATTTTGACACTGCCTTCCTTTATATACGTGTTCTTCTTCTATATTCTTAACCTTACAAAACTTAAATGCATTCATGAACATTCAGACCATTTCCTGGAGTAAGGATTTTACCACAATATAGTATTATTACAGATAGAATAGCTTTTAAATTCAAACATGTTATTTTCTCACCAATTGAAGTGAAAACAAATGAACAGATAACATAATTATGCCTTAACTTTATTTGACAGTCAGGATGTTTTCTTAGTTTATTTTTTTTTTGTGCTGGTAATAGTTTTTTGATGAGGTGATGGGGAAGTTCAAGCCACAGATCATGTCTATCACTCATGTATTCATTATCATGCCCAATAATTTGTGTCCCATCTTTTTTGTAAGCTTACCATCATTAGATGGATTGAGAGCTGTTCAAATCACCGAATGACTATGGTCCATTTCTTATAGCATCACTGATTGTTAGGTCACCTGAGACAAAGTCTTTTAACATTTTCGACTTCCTCTGGAAAACTCTTAAACCAATTTGAATGAAACTGTATAAAGTATAAATACCTTCCATGGCTTAAGATGCAACAAAATTGTAAGTTATATGGTCGGCAACCCCTAGTGGCTGGAAGGCTGGGGCCTAAAAGTGTCATATTGAGTGAAACTTCAAAAAGCTTCTTCTCAAATCCCAGGTATGGTGGAAATATGTTCTCTACATGGATGAAAAGGCTTTCAGATGCTTTACTAGAAGTGTAAATTTCATGACCCCAGTGTTCAGATTACCCCCAGAGGAGGGGTAAAGTTTGCTATCTTTTATATAGGAAAATCATAATTTTGAACATTATTTGTTTTTTTTTTTAATGGAAATAGTTCAGTCCTGGTTAGAATTGTTAGTTTAAAATGACAGGTTTATGAGATGCTCATATTGACCTTTGCTGACCTCCAGGGGCTGTTTGGTGGTGTGAAAAATGGGTCAAATAGACTGAAATTTCCAAAATTTTCGTCTCAATACCCAGATAATGTAGAGCCAAATACTCTTCATGGATGGAAGTGTCTTGTGGTGCTTTATAAATATAAAAATTGTAAATTTCATGACACCAGGGTCTTACATTTCCCCTTAGGGAGGGGGTCAATTTACTATACTTTTTTTATTAGTATAAGCTGACAGTTTTATTGCATGCATATATTGACCTATACTGACCCCTAGGGACTGATGGGCAGAGCTAAGAATAGGTCAAATTGAGTGAAATTTTGAAGATGTTCTACTGTTCCTGGATGGAAGGTTTTAGATAGCAAAATTCGAATCTTGAGTGATATTACCATTTCTCAGAACATTTTAATCATCTTGGTAATATATTGAATAGAATTTCTTTAAGAAGCATAATTTCGCTGCTCTCAACAGTGTCATGAAGCCACAACATTTTCAGTTGTAGTTTGATCATAGTAACAATAAAGTGAAAAGTAGGGTGATGTGATGGCATTAAGGTTGTAGTCAAATCCTGTCAAATTGGTTTACACTGTATACCACAGGAGAAAATCACTTCATACTTATCTGATAAAAGTTACATTGAAAATTTGCTATGTCACATATAAATTTTCTAACTAGTTGTGGTATATAAACGTATCCAAAACTTTCAGGGCTTACTTCATAAGCAAAAAGTGTTGAAAAAGACCATTATAGTTTATTGAAACTTTTACTTTGTACAGATTAACCCTGAGAATTGTCATGTCGCAGTGTTTCCAGCAAGCCTACAAGGTTCTTGGAATGTCCCAGGGTTCAGTGTCCGGACTGGTGGATGTTGTTGTTGACAGTCTGGTGAGGATACAAATAGAAAAGAAAACATAAAAGTAACGTTATAATCTCAGTTTCAATATGAAATACTTTTTCAGCCCACCATCTGTGATCAAATCACCCTACATCTGTGTCATCCATATTCTGGCCATTGTCCCTCCTTAAACAATTTCTTTTATCACCTTGAGAAGTACTGGATGGATCTTGGATCTTCTGGGACTGATGAGATAAACGAAAGGTTGACAGGTGGCCATCTTGTATCTTGACAATTAAAGTTTGTTATACCTAGTGGTGGCCTGAAGTTTTGATTTATGTAATAATATATACACACTTATTGATATATGATACATTATATATGAGACAATACATGGTTTTGATATATTAGATTTAAAAAGACATTTATCCTGTATTGATTTTGCCATTTTTTCTGCTTATTTAGGGAGATGCCTACCCAGAACTTCAGAAAAATAATTCAAAAGTAAGTTAAGAATGTAGATAATGTGCCTCCCATATTTGACCTGAATCTGTTTTAAAGTTTTCTTCTCCAAATGATAGGTTTGTAGGATGATAAGAATGTATTCATTTAAGAGTATTTTCTTTTTATGTTCAGATTAGAAATATTACAAAAGAAACAGAAAAATGGTATACAAGTTTAGTTTCCAGTTCAGAAACAGCTTTCAGCAGATTTGTTAAAAGGACTGCCAGCAAGAGGGAACATAAGCATATATCAGGTATGTCAGAGTATTTACTTCCTCTGTAAAACTTTAGCAGAGTTTTTTCCGCTCATGGAAAGATAGGTTGTATTATGTTATTATGTTAGGTTGCATTTGGTGAGGCGGGTGGGCACACAGTGTCGGCTTGTTAATTTGAATAATACATTTAACATCAATTTTCCGTCCCTTTCCTGTTGCAAAATGCTCATTCTACTTATGACAAGCATATCATGTAACACCTTGCAGAATTCTTGTTATCTTCTTTAGGAATATTGAATTGGGCTCTGTGTGTCCCTCTGTCTGTCTGATGGCATTTCAAGTCTACATCTTGAAAATTTGTTAACATATCAGGCTAGCGCCTTTCTTGTACCTTTAGCTATTGGTGATATTTCATTTTTCATATTTTCTCTGCTATCACGAAAACAAACTCAGAATTACAAAATTTACTGTATGATAGCCTTTTGTAGGTTACAATTTGAAAACTGTTCATCTGGTTTCTACCTACGTTTAAAATCCTCAATGAAAGACAGATGTAACCAGCAGAAAAAACAACTTTTGATTCTTCTTTAATTTTAGCTACAGATGAAAGACCTTTATCCTAACTAAGGTAGACGAGACATAATAGCATAATCCTTCTTCGCTTCACAATAAATCTCGCTGAGATGAACAGATCTCCAACTGCCAGATCGATCACAAAGAAATTGATTTTAACTGATCGCTGAAATTTGATTGGTTGACACAGTTCTTTTTATTCTGTACAATATAATACGATTATAACAATAATAATTGATATAATTGAAATACATGTAGTGTTAACATACATTGTACATTTGTATCACATGGCTGTCATGTGACATAGACAATATCTATATAGCATTATATTGATAAAACATTATGGAACGAATATCAACAAGGAAATACAAATGATGTACAATTCACTATGTTACACAGAGAATCCACATCAAAATATTAACTTACTTTGAAATGTAGATATATAGGCCTTTTTTCCATGTTCATATCAACAGCCAGGTGGGAGGAATAATGCCACCCTTTTACATCTCCTTGAAATGTTTCCATTATAGGTTGTTATTACATTTTCAAATCAAAATCACAACCAATTTCACACAAATATTAAGTTAAGTTTTCTAAAATGTGTATTCTTACCAAAATACCAAAATACCACACTGACTATACTCTTCCTGGCATATCAGTTGAGGACATGATGAACCTCCACAAAGGAAAATATGGAAGCAAAGTCCCACTAAACATCATGCAAGATATAGCTTTAAAAGAAGGATACTCTATGGAAGATGTTGCCTTTCAGGAAGCCAGAATACAAGAGCAACATTTAGTGGTAAGTTTATTAGAACACCATCAACAGATGTGAGCCATTCAAATAATCTATGTCCATCATCCATCGGATGTCTGTCAGTCTGTCCATCAGATCTTAAACAATTTTGTTTACACTATTTTTGTGAAGTATTGGATGAATTTTTCTCAAATTTCAGCTGGTGATTCCATTTAGTTCCTTGTTGTGCCCATTTGGTTGTGGGGTTGATAAAAAAAAGAATGACTGACAGGTGGCCATCTTGGAATTTTGACAATTAGAATGTCTTATCATTCTGTCTTGAGTAGTACAGGATGGATCTTTCTCGAATTTCCCATTTAGCTTCTCATTGATCCCTAGTCATGCCCATTTGATTTTGTGACTGATTAGCAAAAAGATAAATGACTGACAAGCAGCCATTTTAGATTCGGAAAAAAAGAATGATTTTGATTGCTATTTTTGGAGGTAACAGACATGTTTTTTACTAACCTTCATATTTAGTTCCTCTTTGTTTGAAGTTGTGCATTTCTGATTTTGGGACTGCATTGATAGATTTGATGTATACTGGAATCTAGGTATGAACCAATGATTTGTTGTAGGAAAATACTGAGATTAAGAATAAACTGAAGTTAGACAAGAACATGATAGTATCACTACAGCAGCGAGGAGTTCCGTGGACAGATGACAGCTTCAAATATAACTACACTTCTGTGGAGGGCAAATATGGTGATACTTTGATTTACAGTATGCTTTTCATTTACCATCCTCGATACGCAAGGAGTTATGATCACTTTTGGTCTGCATCCCTGGAACATGTCATGGCAAAATGGAAGGTTCCATTTGTGACACCTTGTGGATAAGGCAAAAAGATAAGTTTGATCCTTTGATGTGCATCCAATGAATCTCGAGGTGGCCTAATGATATATTGTAATGGCTTTGAAATTGGGTGTCTGTTTTTGTAATCTTCAAAAGGAGGGTGTCAGCCTTTGATTTGTCAATTTTTGTTCCCTGGAACCAATCTAATGACTTCTCTTGTACCTTATTTTGCCTTGACATGTTTCAGGGATGCAGAGAGTGAAAGTGATTGTAACCCTGAGAGTATCAAGGGTGTTGATTTACTTGTCATGACTATTCTATTTCTGTATTTAACAACAGTACTGTACATCACCATACCACTTTTCTTTAATTAACATGGCATGAAGTAAACTAAAGTTCCTTAACAGACTCACATTGAAAGTTTGAAAATGTTTTTAAAAATTCATTTGATTTGGAAATAGGTTCATTCAAGAATGTAGCTTATTTTAATTTCATGTGAATTTGCATTCCAGAATTCCTTGATGACTTCAATGGCATCGTATTAGGACTTGTAGACAGCAGAGGCTTTGTGGACAAGATAGGTCCTGATGTTCAAAGTGGAATTATTGTTGACAAGAGTATTTTCTATAGTGAAGGTGGAGGCCAGGCTGCAGACATAGGATATATAAAGACAGAGGTGTTTATATATATTATAAATAATTTCAATAGGGAAGGTCAAGAGAGAGTTTTCTTAATTACCGGTATCAAACCTTGACCTGAGGATACCAAAATTAATAAATTCAGTCCAGGAATTAGTTTCCTCAGCTGTATAAAAAACAGTAATTGAATTCTATTATATGGATACTGCTGTGAATTCAGAGTGAAGGTTTTTTGCACTACCATATATCAAAACATTTACTTATCTTAAAACATTTACTTGTCATATTAAAACATTTACTTATCTTAAAACATTTACTTGTCATATTAAAACATTTACATGTCATGTTAAAACATCTACTGCTACTTGTCATATTAAAACATCTACTTGTCATAAAACATCTACTTGTCATATTAAAACATTTACTTATATTAAAACATTTACTTAAATTAAAACATTTATTTGTCATATTAAAACATCTACTTGTCATATTAAAACATCTACTGCTACTTGTCATATTAAAACATTTACTTATCATGAAACGTTTACTTGCCATATTAAAACAACTACTTGCCATATGAAAACATCTACTTGCCATATTAAAACATTTACTTATCATAAAACATTTACTTGTCATAAAAAATTTACTTATCATATTAAAACATCTACTTGTCATAAGACATTTACTTAAATTAAAACATTTATTTGTCATATTAAAACATCTACTTGTCATAAAACATCTACTTGTCATATTAAAACATTTACTTGTCATAAAACATTTACTTGTCATATTAAAACATTTACTTGTCATAAAACATTTACTTGTCATATTAAAACATTTACTTGTCACATTAAAACATTTACTTGTCATATTAAAACATCTACTTGTTGTATTAAAACATGCATAACTGGATCAGGCTAATATAATGATCTTCCTACAGCTTGGATCCTTCAGAGTAGAGGATGTCCAGACATTTGATGGCTATGTGTTACACCTTGGAAATGTTGAGAGTGGAAATTTAGAAATGGGCGAAACAGTGTCCCAGGTGATTGACCAGGTATGTATGAAAAAATTGTATGAAGCTTTCCCTTGAAAATTTTTGTTTGAATATATTTAAATGTATGAAATTTGCACCTTTTGTATAATTCCTATTTTATTCCATCACACAGTAACTAACTCTGTAAATTATACAAGTCGTCTGTTTGGCAGTTGTATGTGTAAGTACATTGTAGTTGCAGGTGTTATGTGTAAGGAGACTTCCATCTTTTTGTGTTACTTGTTTCTCATTAGGTAAGATATGTACAGAATGTTTTAACTTCTGGATCCTATTGGTGAGAAATATTATGTTATCATATAATAAACAAATCATGATGATTCATATTTACAGTCATATATTTGACTCTATATTGAACTAGATATTAAGCTCAGGATAACCTATATATAGTGGTCCGTTATCATGCGGTCATCTGCCAAACTACTGAAGTTCTTACAATTTTAACTTCATCTCAAGTTCCACCAGTGGGATTGAGCTGAAACTTGCCTGAAATGAATATAAGATTGTCCTAACCAAATGTTGTTATTTTTTGGGTTGATCAAATCCAAAATTGCCACCACGTTGAAAAAACCATTTTAAACTTTTCAAGTTCCACTGGTACCAATGAGCTGTAGATTGGTGGGAACATGAATGAAGGAAAGCAGAAAAATACCTATTTTAAACTTTTCCCCAAGTTCGATCAGTGTGATTGAGCTGAAATTTGCCTGAAAGGATCCAGAGATGGGCCTGACCAAGTGTTATTATTTTTCTGGGTGGTCCGAATTCAAATATGGTCGTCATGGCCATATTAAAAAAATTCCGATTCCACTTGGAAAATTTAGTCTGCTTAAATTAAGGTAAAATATTTTAGAGAATGTATAGAAACTGGATTAAAGAGCATTTTGTGTCTTTACTGCTAAAATATTACAAACTGTTTTAATAATTTAATAACCAATTTTACTATTTCTGTTACTTGTATTGGTCTTTATATTCAGAAGACAATTTAAGCCCTTAGGCCTCATGTTTCAGCTTCCAGGAACATTTAATTTTGTCTATTTACAATCCAATATTTCATTTGATATAATTAATATATACATTATTTGAAATATGTTTTTCTGTCTTGTTTTTCTAGGAACATCGGTTAGGATGTATGAGAAATCACACAGCAACTCACCTTTTACTAGCAGGAATTCGTAAGATACTGGATACCAATACAGAACAGGCTGGTTCCAGCATTCACAAAGACAGCTTTTCATTTGACTTCACTTCCCACGTAGGTGAAATACATTTCTGTTATCCCTAAATAATGGCAAGAGCTTCTATTAAAAAAATAAGAGAACAGGATACACATAAAAAAATAATAAAAAATAAGATTTCAATATTTTTTTTCTTTGCGAATCAGAAATGATTCATTGTACATCAGTTAAAGTATCCTATGTACTAGAGGGGGACACCTTAAGATTTCAAAAATGGAATAAGAGAATAAAAGAATCTTGATTCAGAGAAGAAAAGATTATTCACATGAGAACTGGGGAAAAACTAGAAAAGACTGGACAGCATGACAGTGTAATTGAATTTTGAGACATTGGTAAGTCAGGTGATATTTTTTGCACATTTAGGAACAGATTTTGCAAATAATGTAAGGTGATTTAATTTGATTTCCATTACTGAGCACCCCTCACATGATATCACAAACCAAACTTCTTTATGTACCAAGTACACATGGTGTTATTACACCCAGTTATGGCAAGTGATATAAAAGTTTTTGCATGTTCAACCAAAAATAGATTGATAACTGCATTTTTCCAGATACTTCATCCACCTCAGGTTGTAGAAAATGTTGATTTCTAGAATTCTCTCAAGTTTCAGCAAATTCTATAGTGCCATTTTAAACTGATCTAAATCATGTTGGTAGGCAGCAAATAAACGCCTTGTAGCCATTCATAGCCATTCGTTCAAACAACAAGAATCCAATCTAAATTTGAGATTGGGGAGGTGATGCTCATTGTAAGACTGATAATTCTACTGGACATCAAATGTATGGATAGGCTTCTTACCAAATCTTGGATTATTGATGAATTTAACCACAGAAATCAGAAACTTATCATGTCCTGTTATCAGATGATAATTATGACAGGAATTTGGAGATAGAACACATTATCATTGTAGAGGAAGTTGGAAGCTGACCATGTGTCACAGATTGAAGATTTAGTCAAAGCATCTATTCAAAAGAATGATCCAGTGAAGAGAGAAAGGATTCCTCGAGATGTTGCCCTAGAAATGGAGGCCATTGTACCGTTAAGAGATGAGGTATAATCATCTGTTTATTCCATACAATTTTAATAAAGATATATTATAAGGTATATAATTTGTGGAGATTTATCTCCCAGATGTGTATGTGTCATAAATTCTATACTGTATTGATAGATGTAAAATAAGTTTTATGTACTATGTTGACAGATTTACCCCTCACATGTGTATGTGCTGAGTATAGGAAATTCAGTATGTACTGATGACAATTTAATGTCTAAAGAACTTTGTGGAGGAACGTAAGTATGAGGCTCAGTGTTTATTTTGTAGTAGTATTTCACATTATCAAAATTTAAGTTGTTTGTATCTGCATCATATTAACTATAAAAGTCTGTTACTCTATAGATATTCGACAGGATCTATTTTTTTCTTCTGTAAAATTGTATTTAATTCAGAGTGTCATACCATTCCTGATTATGTAAGACATACTAAACAAAGAGTTTAATTGTTGCTTAAAGTGTGATGTCAAAGTTTGGTTTTGGTATTCTGTTTTGGTCGTGGTAGGATCATGAGAAGTTGATGTATCAGTATATTCTTTCTAGATATGGTCTGAAAGGCTTTATCTTTTTCTACCTAGTCTTTCTCTCACACAATATATATATACTTCATTACAGCCATGTCAGTAAAACAGGTGATATTGGGGACTTTTACATTACCTCAGTGATCAGAGCAAATCAGGCTACCAAGAGGATATATGCTGTAACTGGACAATCTGCTGAACAGGTAACTCTTTGTGTTCTCACTTATTTTCGGCAGCCAATACACTAAACAGGCAACTTGATGTGTTCCCAATTACTATAACTGGCTAATACACAAAACAGGTATCTCTTTGTGTTCTCATTAACTTTACTCGTTAGTACACAAAACAGGTATCTCTATGTGTTCTCATTAACTTTACTCGTTAGTACACAAAACAGGTAACTCTATGTGTTCTCATTGACTATAACTGGCTAATACACAAAACGGTAACTATTTGTGTTCTGATTAATTTTAACTGGCTAATACACAAAACAGGTAACTCTATGTGTTTTTATTTACTGTCTCTCGCCTTCTGTTTAAGTGGTATATACACAAGCTCATCATCAAATAAATCATTTTGATTTTTCACACCAGAAAATGGTTGAATGTAACTGTGTGTTGTGATGTCTGAATAAAAACGTGTGTACCAAAATGTGATAACAAATTAAATTTCAGTATCATGCATTTTTATTTGAAATGGGAGGACAACATTAACTATGCTGCATAGATTATATATTGTTATATTATCATTACAGGGTAATACTCAAAACAGCTGATAACATGGCCTCAAATACAATTTATTAGTACTCTGATATTCTGTATCTGACATAAATTTTCTCTTCCACTCACTTAACATGCAAGATACATGTTTTTTTAACTGTTTTGTTTTCATAAGTCTATGTCAATGATTTCATGTTCCAGGTATTAAAAACAGGAGAGAGGGCACAAGAGTTGCTCCAGAAGATTAAATCTGGGATTAATGATAGAGACAAACTGGATGATCTTCTTGAGTGTGTTGAAGAACTTAATAGTATGGTAGGTATCATGGTAGAGATTGATATGGTAATACATACTTGACTAAATCAGATAAATTGAAGCACAAAATGATTTTTCGTATCTGTATATAATGTGAAGAAGATGAAATTTGCATACAAGTTAGTCTCAGATGGGTTGATCAATACCACATGGTCTACCGTCCGTCTGTCAACTTTTCTCCTAAAAATGATTAGAAGTCATAAATGATTAATAGTATTTTGTCCAAATTTGGAGGGCAAAAGTTTCAAAGCTTGAAAATTCTACTATTAATGTGGGATGGTTTTAGCCCAATTTTTTCTGAAACATTGAAGGGCGAGTGGGAATCAATTTTGTATATACAGTGGGTCTCAACCCGCCAGGTGCAGAAAGGGCAGGGCCCAATGAGGGAATGGTGCAATTGCTTAAAAGTCCTATGCCTTCTGAATGATTTATTTGCCCAAATATAACCTGAAGCATTCTTTTGTGAAGGGGAATCAATTTTGTATAAAGTTTGGTCTTGATCAACTTTCGGCAAAAATTGCAAGGCCCAATGATGGAAATAAACCAAATTCTTTTAAAATCCTTTTCCACCTGTAGCAATGATTGGATTTTGAACAAATTTGGTTTGAAGCATACCTAAGTGATGGGAGATCAATTTTGTACATTGTATAATGTTTGATCTTGGCCTCCTGGGGCAAGAGCTGGGAACCCAAATGGGGGAAATGGGGAAAGAAATCTTTAAAATCCTTCTACTGTAGGAATATCAGGATTCTTTCCCTATTCAATCTGAAGCTTTCGGGGTGAATGAGACTTTTGTATAAATGATTTGCTGACTCTCTGAGGGATGAGGAGTGCAGGGCCCAATGAAGAAATCAATATAAACTTTGATAATTCCTTTTCCTTTAAATTGGATGAAACAATTTCAGGCAAGCAAAGCAATGTGAGAGATACAGGCCTTATGGACCTTTTATCTTTTCTTTTGTTTTAGTTTGGCTTAGTTATGCCCAAAACTATGAGAGACCAAGTGTATTCAGAGCTGTCTCCTCTTTCAAATCGATTGTCTGGCATGGAATCAGAGAGGCTAGCTGCTAATGCCCAACAGGTAAAGTTTTCTTCCTTAGAAATACAACATATATAACATGGACATGAAATAAAAAGATTTGAAAAAGTTCAAAATTTACCCTGTATAATTAAATTGGCACTGACACCAGTGCCTTAATGTTTAAATAATCTCTGTGAGATATGGTACTGTAAAATTAATGCTATTATAACAGGACTTAAATTCTATTCATAGGTTATTAACAAAGAAATGCAAGCTCAGAAGAATGGCAGTTTTGTATTATGCAGAAGTGATTTAAAGAAATCAAAACAGGTATGATATAAATCCTTACTTGTTAGATAATTAGGGTTCACCATGTGGTGAAAAAACCTAATGTTATTGTTATGTTTCTTTTTCTTATTATTATTCTGAAATTTGTGGACACATCTTTTGATGAGTAAGAGGTAGGTTTAAAGTCCATTTAGCACTTTGTAGTACGTATCTGAAAAAGTAAGTGTAACATTTTTAAATAGGTCTTAAATCCAATTTGGCCTCCATGAGATCATATATTGAAAACTTTAAAATAGCTATAACTTAATGCAATTATATTATTTGTAGATAATTCCCATACCTAACTTTTTTATCATCAGCAAAACGTGTTTGAAGGGGATATTTATTTTGGGCTCTGTCTGTGCGTGCGTCCTTAACTTTAACTTTAATACTGTTCAACCTCAATCTTTCTGAAATTTCATGTTTATATTTCCCTCGATCCCTAGTTTTCCCCGTTTGATTTTGGTGCAGATCAGAAAAAACAGGCACACAAACGGCCATCTTGGATTTTGACTTTGAAAGTTTGTTATCAATATTTCTTTAGAAGTACTGTATAGATCTTTCTCAAATTTCATGTATAGGTTCCTCTAGGTCCCTAGTTGAACTTGTTTGATTTTGGAACAGACCAAATAAACAAAATGGCCGACAGGTGGCCATCTTGGATTTTTTCAATGAAGTTTGTTATAGCTATTTCTTGAGAAGTACATGATAAATCTTTCTTAAATTTCATATGTAGGTTCCTTTTGGTCCCTGGTTGTACCTTTTTGAATTTTGGATTTATTCAGAGAAAACAAAATGGCCGACATAAGGCCATTTTGGATTTGGCAGGTAAAAATTATCATCAGAATTTCAGCATAGGAATGTTCAAATGTCTTATCATTAAGAATAAAACAGAGAAGAGAAAAGAAGGGAAAAGATCCAATTTTCAAAAAGCAAATAAAGATCAAACAATTGTGGGCACCAAGATCCTTCTGGGAAACGTAGACAAAAAACAGAAATTTAAAGTTAACTTTCCTGTCCGGGCTACAGCTTCAGAACCATTCCACTCAACATTTCATTTTTTTTATATTTTCTCTGTTACCATGGAAACATAAAACTATTATAACTATACTTTAGCATATATATATATGATTGTATGCCTTTCTTTTAAACAGCGGGCACAGGGGATAATGTCAAGCTTTGTATTATCTTGTTCTCATTACATATAACACAAAATTTGTCAAATAAAAGAGCTTGCTGTTCGGTCAAAGGTCACAAATTAAAAAAACAAATTTTCTTGTGAAAATTTCTTTTACAGATCAGTACAGAATGTCATTCGGATGAATTTTATGTCTTCAGATTTTCTTTAGCATTTAGCGTTAACGTTGGATGCCATTATGAGAAGGGTTTCCCCAGATGTTCTATACCATTTAGTGATAAGCTGAAGTTTCAACTTCAGAAAAATGGCTGCTTTGGTGTAATATAAGATTTTACCTGTAATTGCAATTGGGCATATCTAATTAATTGCTGAATATATTGTATTTATCTTCGGATATGTTATGTAAAATAACAAATAAATTAGACCTTTTAGGAAACATTATTTTGTAAAATGTCATGTTCTAGTTTTTGATAGGGGCCATAGTTCAAAAACCTTTTTAAATTCTACAATTCCTAAAGCCAAGATAATTTACATTTAAGATATTTAGGACATTTTCTATCAATTTTAAAGTCACAGAGGTCAATTATGTCAAAATCTTTTAAGTAGCATTTTCTCAATATCCAAGAGGCACATGGCGATGAAATTTTGTCTGTACTATACTATGATCAATTGCTATTGAATGTTTTTGAATATAAAACCTTTTTTTAAACTTCAAGATCTGGTTTTCGATGGGGGTCAAAGTTGAAAATTGCTATTTTGGGTAACAAACTTTGAAAAATTCTTCTCAAGTTCTTCAAGGTCTAGGGCCTTAATATTGCATATGAACAAAGCTCTGGTCATTGACTATCAAGTTTGTTAATACAAATGACCTTGAACCACTTTCTAGGTCACAGGATACAATTATTTCAAAATATTTAAAAAAACATTTTTGCAAAAGCCAAGACCCACCCACATGGTGATTCGTGATGAAATTTTGTCAGTAGAACACAGTGATCAATTGCTATTGAATGCAACAATCAAACCTTATTAGGATATTCAATTTTCAATTCTCCATTGGGGTTGATATTGAAAAAAATTGGAAAACATCTTAAGTTCTACAAGGTCTAGAATATTTCTACTTCATATCTTAGATGTCTGGCTCATTATCTATCAAATTATAAATATGCTTGTCGGGTATGAAGCTGTTTGTTATATCTGTGAAAAAATATAATATAAATGATTGTACTTTGTAGGTTATCAAGCTGTTTGTTATATCTGTGAAGAAATCTAATATCTTTTAATGATTATACTTGTAGGGTATGAAGCTGTTTGTTATATCTGTGAAGAAATCTAATATCTTTTAATGATTATACTTGTAGGGTATGAAGCTGTTTGTTATACCTGTGAAGAAATCTAATATCTTTTAATGATTATACTTGTAGGGTATGAAGCTGTTTGTTATATCTGTGAAAAAATATAATATCTTTTAATGATTATGACCAGGAGGAGTTGATAGAAATCTAATATCTTTTAATGTCATTGGTATGAAGCTGTTTGTTATAGTCAACCATTGACCAGGAGGAGTTGATAGCTGTTTGTTATCATTGGTCTAATATCTTTTAATGATTAAGGTAAGTCAAGCCATTGACCAGGAGGAGTTGATAGCTGTCATTGGTCCTAAGGTAAGTCAAGCCATTGACCAGGAGGAGTTGATAGCTGTCATTGGTCCTAAGGTAAGTCAAGCCATTGACCTGTCATTGGTCCTAAGGTAAGTCAAGCCATTGACCTGTCATTGGTCCTAAGGTAAGTCAAGCCATTGACCTGTAATTGGTCCTAAGGTAAGTCAAGCCATTGACCAGGAGGAGTTGAGGGACAGGAATATACTCATTTTAATCCTCTTGATATGAATCATGCTATTGCCCTCAGCATTGAGTTTAACTTTCTCATCTAATTGTTTACATTGTTATCACAAGCAGTCTATGTATCAAAAATAGAGGATGGATCTAAGAATGCATCACGAATGGGATGATACAACCAAAGTTTTACCGACCCACAAACATCAGATGAGGTGCCATTATTATACATCATCCTTCGGTCAACCTCTTCATCCTGAAACATATCTTCATAATATAAATTGTTCATCCAATTATTTGAAAATTTTATGGCAGTACAATGTTTTACACCGGGAATAAAAAATTTCAATCATTGTATACTGAGATATATATAATGCCAAAGAATCAATCTTTCATGTATTTCAGCACTGCTCTTCGGAGATGAAGGATGCCTTAAATCAGCTGATAGAAAGACATGGCTGTGGATCATTGTTTACTCAGAGTAAAGGGGAAAGACAGTTATATTCTACTGATTTTAAGAGAGAACTGATGACAACAACAGAGACAGATGCAGAGAAAATTTATGAAGTTACAAGGAGTGTATTGGATTGTGTTTATACTGCAGTTCAACAAAAAGAACATTAACCTGTAGTTGATGCATATCGTATAGCTATTTTATAATGGCAGCATAATAATACAAAATTCTAAAAAATCTGGTGTTTTTTAATTATTTAAAATGATAACTGGAACCTGGGCCTTATGATTTATTAGTATGTACAGCCTATGTATGGCTGTAAGACATCTGATAAATCCAGGGCTATAATTTATGTGTGTACAACCTATACATGGCTGTAAGACATCTGATAAATCCAGGGCTATGATTTATTAGTATGTACAACCTATATATGGCTGTCTGATATATCTAGGGCTATGATTTATCAGTATGTACAGCCTATATATGGCTGTCTGATAAATCCAGGGCTATGATTTATGTATGTACAGCCTATATATGGCTGTAAGACATCTGATATATCCGGCGCTATGATTTATGTATGTACAGCCTATATATGGCTGTAAGACATCTGATAAATCCAGGGTTATGATTTATTAGTATGTACAGGCTATATATGGCTGTAAGACATCTGATAAATCCAGGGCTATGATTTATGTGTGTACAACCTATATATGGCTGTAAGACATCTGATAAATCCAGGGTTATGATTTATTAGTATGTACAGCCTATATATGATATCCAGGGCTATGATTTATTAGTATGTACAGCCTATACATGGCTGTAAGACATCTGATAAACCCAGGGCTATGATTTATTAGTATGTACAGCCTATATATGGCTGTCTGATATATCCAGGGTTATGATTTATTAGTATGTACAGCCTATATATGGCTGTCTGATATATCCAGGGCTATGATTTATTAGTATGTACAGCCTATACATGGCTGTAAGACATCTGATAAACCCAGGGCTATGATTTATTAGTATGTACAGCCTATATATGGCTGTAAGACATCTGATATATCTAGGGCTATGATTTATGTATGTACAGCCTATATATGGTTGTAAGAGAGGACATCTGATATATCTAGGGCTATGATTTATTAGTATGTACAACCTATATATGGCTGTAAGACATATGATATATCCCGGCTGTGATTTATTAGTATGTACAGCCTATATATGGCTGTAAGACATCTGATATATCCAGGGCTATGATTTATGTGTGTACAACCTATATATGGCTGTAAGACATCTGATAAATCCAGGGTTATGATTTATTAGTATGTACAGCCTATATATGGCTGTAAGAGAGGACATCTGATATATCCAGGGCTATGATTTATTAGTATGTACAGCCTATATATGGCTGTCTGATATATCCAGGGCTATGATTTATTAGTATGTACAACCTATATATGGCTGTAAGACATATGATATATCCCGGCTGTGATTTATTAGTATGTACAGCCTATATATGATATATCCAGGGCTATGATTTATCAGTATGTAAAACCTGTATATGACTGCAAGATATCAGATATATCCCAGGCTATGATTTATTAGTATGTACAGTCTATTTATGGCTATAAGACATCTGATTTATCCAGGGCTATAATTTATGTGTGTACAGCCTATATATGGCTGAAGGACATCTGATATATCCAGGGCTATGATATATGTGGTACAACCTATATCCCACAATATGATTTATTAGTATGTACAACCCATATATGGCTATAAGACATCTGATTTATCCGGCGCTATGATTTATGTATGTACAGCCTATGTATGGCTGTAAGACATCTGATATATCTAGGGCTATGATTTATTAGTATGTACAGCCTATATATGGCTGTAAGAGAGGATATCTGATAAATCCAGGGCTATGATTTATTAGTATGTACAGCCTATATATGACTGTAAGACATCTGATATATCCCGGCTGTGATTTATTTGTATGTACAGCCTATATATGGCTGTAAGATTAAATACCGACTGTACTTGCTTTGAAGCTATGGTATGAATTTCATCCACATGTTGACATGTTGAAGTGTAGCTCTGAAGAACTTGTCCCCAACAAAGAGTTCTGATGAAGCAAAGAGATAATTAAAGGTGTCCTGTTCCAGTAATTCATCCCTCTCCTTGCTTCCATTTTAAAAATACAATATGATTTATGAGCCTTCTTGAGCTTGCCATAGTTTGAATTGTGTAATCCATTTTCGTGTTTTCATCAACTCATACAGATAGTAACGTACATTTAACAAATCAAAATAAAACATTGAGAATGATTAAGATTTTGATCAGCATAATAAAACCAACTACATGCTAATCATTTCACTCTTACAATTACATTAATGACAATACACATTTGTCATAAGTTAGACTGAGAAGCAGTGTGTATGAACATGACCTATGTCAACAGTAATCAGATCAGTGTTCACAACATCTCCCACCCTAGGTAAGGTAGACTAGACACATCACATAATCCTTCTTCACTGTACCATAAATCTGCAATAAAATTCAGTAACTTCCGAGATTGGAATCTCCGCTACGAGAATTAAAAACCATCCCAAATTACGGCATCACGACCTTATCCATTACACTATCGCAAACGTAATCAAATTGTAATGAAGTGAATACCCTGATAGACATTTACGATATAATAACATATATACTAACGGAAAAAAAGAAACGCAAGTTTTTTTCCGGTGGAAAATATTTCAAATGTTTTATGGATGATCATATCATTGTTTAGATGTTTATATCCATTCCTTATTACTGATTAAAATTTTGATAAGTTCTGCTGTCCTAACACAGACGGCGTTGGCATGGATAGCATTTAAACGTAGATACCCTACGCCATTTCCTGATCAAAATCAATAGCGGGTGTGCCCACCTCGAGCTGCAGTCGCTGCTCTAACTCTCCTTACCATTGACCCCATCAAATTGTTTATGGTCCTTTGTGGGACGTTATTCCACTCCTGAAGAAGGGCCTGCGTGAGCTGAGCTGCGTTGTTTTGGACGTTGACGCGTTTCCTGAGCCTCCTGTCCAGCTCGTCCCACAAATGCTCGATCGGAGACAGATCTGGACTGTAGGGTGACCAGTCGAGTACTGGAACATTGTTTTGGTTGAGGAAGTTACGACACACCCTAGCGACGTGCGGCCTCGCATTATCCTGCTGCAACGTAAGGTTTCGCTTGGATTAGTAGAAGGACGTGAGGAATGAGGACCTATTCCCGATATTGGACGGCTGTTAGATTGCCTAGGATGAGCACGAGAGGTGTTTTCACGCTATGAGAAATCGCCACCCAAACCATAACAGACCCTCTCCCGAATCTGTCGTTTTCTTTAACACATGCTTCAAAATATCGCTCACCGCGACGTCGATTGCAACGTTTTCGTCCATCTGACCTGTACAACATGAAACGAGACTCGTCCGTGAATAACACACGTCTCCGGCGGGCCAAGGGAAACCGATTTGGTGCATGTGCACGCAACGCAACGTTGACGTCGCCTGGGTGTCAGTTGCGGACCAACGTAGGGACGTCTTGGCCTTAAATTGAACTGCCGCAGCCTATTCCTAACTGTTATTGGACACCGCATTTAAACCGACGATTATTTAGACAGTACACTGAGGTATTTAGGTGTCACATTTCACAACATTTGGTCGACGGATAAAAAAAGTTATATTACCAAAACTGAACATGCGTTTCTTTTTTCCGCTAGTATATGTAGATACAGGATAGGAGTTATTAAGGACGCACTTGCCTTTGGACGTGAACATGGCGAGTAATTTTACTTTTTAGGTGCAAAGACAAGTATATGGCAAAATTTTTTGGTCATAAATGGTTATACGTTTGATCTTGCTTGAAAAAAAAATCTTGCAAAAAACAATGATGAAAATTTCAATTTTGATATGCATTTTAAAGAATACGTGTTCAATTTTCATAG